CCCCAAGAACCACGCTGCTGCTCCGCTCAGAGCTGGTTCCAGCTGCCAGGACTCAGCAGATCATTTTTTCTAAGCCTGGAGCTGCACAGCAGAGCTCGGTGGCAATCGCGGAGTTTTGGAACAGGCCGGTAGCACAGCTTTTATTTTACCTCGTCTATTACTTTTCTCTGGTTTAAGGTGTTAGGAATAAGAATGATCTATGTAACCACTACTTGGACAGGCTGTTAACAGGTTTCAGGCCTTACTCTGACCGTCTGCTGGACAATCAGCCCCTGTTTTAAAGAGATTAATTTTATAAACTGATCTATTTAAGACCGCTGCCGACGTTTGCGCAGCTGGGTGAAGCGGTTGCAAAGTCAAAGACCCATCAAGTTCACTTCCTGCATTCACCACACAACTTCAGAAGCTTCGTACAAGCCCAGGACACGCTCTGCCCTGGCCAGTCACTGGAGGGTTGATAAGAAAGCAAAGTTCCCCAAAATGCCAAAGCGTATTTTTCTGCAACTGAACCCTGAAAAGAGACCAACTTTTGAGTTCCTCCCACACACAGGTCCCGTTCCCAAGCAACACGCGGTTAACCCGCGCGCGGGAATAAAGCGGCCAGTTAAACGTTACCGCCAAGACTCACCCACTGCACCCCGAGAAGCAGCATCTGCACCTGAAAGAGAAGACACTGACTTAACAAACACCAGAACGTGCCGAGAAGCGCCGATGCTGCAAGGCACAGCTCTTGCCAATCCCAGTTCTCAGAAGGGCTCTGCTCCATTTGTTGGAGTGGTCTCCAGTTCTAGCAGCCTCTCAAAACCAGACCCAAGCCTAGAACCCGCAGGCTAATACCCACCGGGAGGAGACGATTCATCTTCTTGAGGTCGCTTCGTTACTGTTGAGACGCGGCTGGTGAATCGCTCTTTTTTTTCTCTCAATGTTTTGTATATCTGGAGACAGACCAAGAGATAGTTACTGTGTCTTGCAGCATCAAGGCACCGTTCTGCTGCTGCCCTCCCCTGCCCCGACCGGCTTTTGTCTGCCCTGCCTGCTCAAAGCCATCTGCTTTCACTTACAGCACATCGACCACACTAGACCTCGCTGAAGAAAGTGCCCGTGAAGGTACGTATGTGTAGCTACAAGAGGAGTGCAGGCAGAGAATGATCTGCTCCGCACTAGCTGCGATGGATCTCAGGTGTCTGTTCCGTAAGCGAGCGATCCACCTTGGGTGGTGCAGGATGTCCACAAAAAATCCGTAACGCAGAGAGGCAAAGGACAAGGAGGCTGCAGGGAAGGGGGTCGGCTGCCCCAGAGTGAGCAAATGGGAGGGAAGCAAACCGTTTTTGTGAGGCAACGCCTCGAGCCTGCCTAATAATCCCATCACGTGTGTGTCACGTGAACTTGCATTTCGATTTCTTTATGAAAGAGAAAAAACCTACTGGGACGGCCTGAAACGCAACCGTCTGTCCGACGACTGTATTTTCAAATTGTGAAAGAATATTAAATCTGGAACGCTCCCTCCAGGAAATAAAAGCCTCCAAAACGTGGAGGCACGGCAGGCGACGCTGCAGCGGGTGCCAGAGCGCTCGCGGGTAGCGATCCCCGTGTCGTGACATCCCGACCGTGTCGGAACCAAAGTTAATGCCTCTGGGGAACCGAAATCTCTCTTTCTCCCCAGACATTCTTGCATTTTACCTATCTCCGTGATAGCAAATGGTCTCAAACAGGCCTGAGGAATTCAATGCCAGGCAGAAAACAAAAAAAAGAGCCCAGGCAGACAAAAGCATATCCAGGGAAATGGAAACAGTGTCAAAAATATCAGAAAACAAGAACTTGTCAGTGTTGAAAATATGTTTTTAAAGCCTTTTGCTTAAATATATCAAAGTCAAGGTTAACAAGACCACCTCTGCTTTTGCAAGCAGGAGTTTTTAAGCGAGTCCAAAGGGCAGCATACAGCAAATTAAATCTGATCCCTTAGGAAAAAAAATGACTTAGAAAAAACCGACATGCAAAATATCAAATCAGGATAAATTTTTCCAAAGGGACAATGCCAATTTCTTTCCAGTCCCAAACACAGCCGTGCGCTGTGCCAGAGAACAGCGAGATTCCAGTGCTCCTCTGAGGTCACAAAGTTAGAGGAGCTTTCTTTCCTCTAGCATACTCATATTTTGCTGATTATTCCCTTTTTCGTATGCCAACGGTACTGATGTCAGGAGGCATGCTTTCACTAATTTGATCCTTTCCGATGGTGACAAATCAAAGGTTCTGGTTTTCGCTATATTTAACGTGGAAAAGTTAATTCTAAGGCACTTTTTCCCCCCCACTAAGAACTACGTTGTTTCAGAATATAAAATTTGCAAACTTAAATTATTTGACAACGTCCCTTGGAATTAAATGCCTGAGGCCAGAGCGCGCAAGGAGGGTTCAGTTAAAGCTGGGTCCAACATCCAGAGGGGTGCCCTCCCGCCGCCCCTCGCCCAATTAACGCACGTTTATTTCAGCATCTTACATAAGCTCCTGTCCCAGTGACTGTTCCTCCTACAATTAAGTATAACAATAGGTTGCTGCCAGCTTTGCCAGGAACACCTGAAGACGTCAGTGATCTAGAAGGGCATCTTAGATGATGACATTGCAAAACTGTAGGTGAAGACAGGCAAGGAGAGAGAAGAGAGGGAAAGGGCTGAATATTAAGGACTCTTGATTAAACAGCTCTTGGGAAATGCAGGATGTGCTCTGTGATTTCAGTTACCTCGTCTGTCAAAACAGCACAGCAGGGCACAGTACAGAACGTGTAAACGGGCAAAGACTTTGCCTCCGTGCACCATTTTGGGTTTTTTAATTTATTTCATCTCCCAGGAGCCTGGTGCATGTGAAATTTCGCTAGGAGAGAGTCAGGACTCGGAACTTTTAACGAGTACGATCCTCCAAGAGAAAGAATTCTGAAGCGAAGATTTGTATGATGTAAACTCATCTGCTCCTGGGTCACGCTGCTCCTCCTCAGCCCTCTGGCAAAGCCGTTTACTCTGGGGCTGCCAAGCCCTCTGGAGTAGGACATAAATGCCTGCTCACCAGTTTGGGGTCGGTTGGGTACGCTGGCACAAGCCAAACACTGATGTTCCGAATTAAGAGTTGGTAAAGAATCTTTGGTGTTAAAAGCACGTATCGTCCAAGTCTCCCTGAACTGCACGCTGCTATCACACGCGAGACAACGGGCAGAGCTGTGGTTGGGCACGGCATGTGAAAAAAGAGTGCCTTTAGGTAACTGAAATTACAGATTAAGAAAACATTAGCATAAGAAGTTAACTTCCAGCCAGCTCAGTTACCTCCCCTTGAAGTTTTCTGAAGGAAGACACAGGTACAGAGACAAAAAGCGAGTACAGTTATCTGAAATACAGCGAATGCTCGACAGAAGAGATGTATTGCCGCTTCTTTCCATGAACTACCTTTCTACTTACATAGGCACCCGCTCCTAACGTTGATAAGCCCACAATAAGGACAAAAACAGAACTATTGCCTTTGCCCCCGGGCACGCCAGAGCTAGCCACTTGTCTGCTCAGCTGCAGTTCTGTGCGAACGCTCCAGCGCTGCAACAACGTGCCTGAGGAATACAATTTATTAGAGAGAGACACAAAAAGGCTGTCAATGCAAGGTTACTGTTTTGAAATTTAGAGAGCAATTTCTGAAACCAAGTAAACG